TTATTAAAGACTCAGACTGCGCACGCAGCGACGCACTCCTGTCACAGCAGTCTCTCGTCAGGAGGAGAGAGTTTAGTCACTCACACAAAGTTGGACAGATCTGTTCAATAACAACATTCTGAACACGTATTTTATATAAAGTTAGGTATAACAGACCAATGTCTCTGGTTCAGGAGCAAAGTGCAGGAGGAGCAAAGGAGGAGATGTGGACTGATCGCTGCAGCAGCTCGAGTTGAGCCGGTCCGCTGCTTCAACCAAACCTGCTCTGACTGAAAGTCCCGCCCTGCTCTGCTCTGATTGGACAAAACGGCTCTGGACTTAGTCTGATTTGTTGAAGGCAGTGTCAGTTTAATCCTTATATCAGGGTCCCGCTGTTGCGCACCAAACAATGATCCATTCACATCAGTGCAGCTGGATTCTTTTTAATTATATATATTTTTTAAGAAATCTAGATGTATTTGCGACCAAACTGGTCGCACTCTAGAGCCCTGCTAGCTGTTGTTTTGACAGACAACCAGGTACAATCTTAGATATGCAAGGAAGCTTTATGAATACCATCTGGTGCGCTTTTTCCTTTTTTGACCACGCATGCATACCTGTGCACTGCTTATGTGTCACTCTGCATATAATGTATTTTGACATTACCTGTGTTTGTGTATTCCTTTTTTACATTTTCAGGAGAGACATGGAACCCCTTGAAGCTACATTATCAGCTGAGGAATGTCCGGGAAAGGTTGGCCAAAAACTTGGTGGAAAAAGGTGTCCTCACTACAGAGAAACAGAACTTCTTGCTTTTTGATATGACCACACATCCTCTGACCAACAACACCATCAAGCAGCGTCTTATCAAAAAGGTGCAGGAGGCTGTTCTAGACAAATGGGTGAACGACCCTCATCGAATGGACAAGCGAATGCTTTCTCTCATCTTCTTGGCCCATTCATCTGATGTTTTGGAAAATGCTTTTGCACCACTACTAGACGACCAGTATGACCTGGCCATGAAGAGAGTACGGCAGCTGCTAGAACTTGAGCCGGAGGGGGAAAGCATAAAGGGCAACACCAATGAGCTGTTATGGGCTGTTGTAGCTGCTTTCACTAAATGAGAATACAGAATTCAGCTTATAGTTGGTTCTGTGGGTGAACTGTGGGTAGGAGCAGAGTACTAATCCTAACATGAGAACTTATACCACACTTGGACTTTTAGAATGGAGTACTCTATTCTTTTCATGTTTCTGCCTTTTTTTTCATTGTTTCCCTTCCAAATAAACATTCTGTCTATCTTTAATAGACTACTTTCTCCCATTGTTTTTTTTTCCCCATTAGTTTTTTGCCTGACTTTATTCAAAGTGTATGATAATGTAATTGTATGTGTCTCTTGTGTTCATTTCTTTAGATGGTAGCAAATCAGTTTTATTTATTATTATTTTATTAATTTATCATAGGATGTACATTTACAACTGATTAACTTTTGAAGTCAACCTGGTCTGAAATGACCACCATATGGCCTTTAGCCAACACAACATGGCTTAAACTCAGTTTTACACATATCGAGCTAACGTTTAGTGTGGGAGTAGCTGAGAGTCATTCATGACAAATTCTCCCAGGTGCCACCAGTTCACAAGCTCTTGTTTAAGCTGTTGTCATGCAAGGCTGCAGGTAATGTGCTTTCTTTCAAGGAATGCTAGTGTGTGTTTCTGTGTTCATTTCACTAGAGATTAGAACTCGTGAAATTTTGAATGAACAATTTGATGACAAAATAGATGGGGTAGAAAACAAGGTGTTGGCAGCTTTCTTCCCCCACCCATGACTTTATCTTTGAAATACAATACAACAATACAATAATACAATACAACTTTACTTGTAAAGCGCTTTAAAAACAACCCCGTTGGCCAAAGTGCTGTACATGATGAAAAACACATAAAACATACTCAAAACAATAAACTAATTAAAATGAGCCAATATCTAAAAACAAAAACATTAAAACCAACATCTCAAACTGAGTTAAAAGCCAAGGTGTAAAAATGTGTTTTAAGCGCTGATTTAAAAACAGGAAGTGAGTCAGCCTGTCTAATGTGCAAAGGCAGCTCATTCCACAGTTTAGGGGCAGCGACTGAAAATGCTCGATCACCTCTCAGCCTCCTCTTAGATTTAGGGACGACCAACAGAAAGTGACCTGCTGACCTGAGGGCACGAGAGGGAGTGTAAGGTTGGAGCAGTTCAGATAAACACATTGGGGCAAGACCATGAAGACATTTAAAAGCAAACGGTAAAACTTTAAATGTAATCTGGAAGCGAACTGGGAGCCATTGTAATTATTCTAAAACAGGAGTGATGTGATCTCGTTTTCTGGTACCAGTTAAAAGGCGAGTGGCGTTCTGGACCAGCTGAAGTCGAGTCGGTAATGACTGGCTCAGCCCAGCATAAAGTGCATTGCAGAAGTCTATATAACGAGTTGAAGCATGGATCAAGATTTCAAAATGAGAAAGAAATGGCTTGACCTTGGCCAGTTGTCTCAGGTGATAAAAGCTGGACTTGATCACAGATTTAATCTGAGAATCTAGTTTAAAATCATTGTCCAGTTTAACACCCAAGTTAGTTGCTGACCAAGACAGCAACTAACTTGGGTGTTAAACTGGACAATGGACATTAGAAAAAGCTTTTACAGGTGAAGTTTCTTTTTAACGTATTCAACAATACGATAGCTTTGACATGCATATTCAAACTTGTGAAAATGCAGTGACATTGAAAGACAGACAGGTTAAAGGAATACTCTGGTTATATTTAAAGTGATGTTTTGTCATCAGAAGGGCCTTACGAGCTATGACATCAGTCATAGAGCACAACATATGATGAAAGATGCAGACACTTTTGTCCAGGCTAGCCAAATAATGGCCCATTTTCCTTTTTTATTTTTGTTCTGGGTTTTAAAATATTTAAAAAAAAATGATAGGCCTTTGTTAAGGAATGCTACATTATCTAATAATTAAATTCTACACCTTTGCATGACACAGAACTAAAAAAAACAGTGTTACTAATGCGCGTAAAGATTGCGTAAATGTCAGGCTGTTTACAGTGAGAGAAATAAGTATTTGATCTCTTGCTGATTTAGCAAGTTTTGCCACTTACAGATATAAAAATAACTAAATAAATCCAGAAAATGACAAATTTATTTCCATTTTGCAGAGTGAAATGGTATTGGATCCACTACCAACCATTAAGAGTTCTGGCTCCTACAGACCAGTTAGACGCTCCTAATCAACTCGTTACCTCATCTGATCTGCGGCCACGTGTTTCGGACACTCTGGTGGGGGCGGAGCTGTCAACTGACCACTACCCAGTGGTGAGTTTGCTCTGATGGTGGAGGATGCAGGTCAGACCCAAACATATAGTGAGGGAACATCTGGCAGAGTCTCCCATCAGACGGAGCCTCAACTCACACCTCCGGGAGAACTTTGAACTGGCTCTGGAATAGGTGGGGTACACTGAGTCAGAATGGGCCATGTTCCGTGCCTCCATTGTCGAGGAGGCTTACCTAAGCTGTGGCTGTAAGGTTGTCTGTGAGGAAGCCTGTAGTGTCTTGAGGAAGTCAGGCAGGGGAGCAAAACCAACCAATTGGGCCTAGAATACAATAGAATATATCTTTACTGTCATTGTAACAATGAAATTACAGTTCAGAACATCCATTCAGAAGAAGACAGAACTTAACAAACATAGGAGAACAGGTGCTCTGGGTCATGCAGCCACAGACCCTGCACAGAGCAAGGATCATCTTCTTGAAGTCATGAGGAGGCACTACCCTTAACAGAAAAACTAAAAACCACACGAGGGAAGATGAGAAAAATCAAAACATATATCAACAATGTGACACACTATGGTGTTTATATTAAAAAAACCTCTGCATAGAGCACATTTATTAGCCAGAGGAGTAAGTGAGTTTGGAGGGGCATGTATCTGAAGCCATGAGTGTTGTATGCACTTGTGTGAATATCTGATGAAAGAGCCCGAAGGATCGAGTCCCCAAAACCAGCGCAGCCAAAGTTCAGAATATGGATGTTAAGTGTTCAATCTGTGTGGCCCTCAGCCTGCTCCAGGTACCAGATCACAGATGGGAGTGAGTGGGGGGAGGTGTGGGGCAGAACCTCAGTCAATGTATACATCCAGGAAGTACGTATTTAGTCCAACAACTCAAGGCCATGTAGGGGAGAGCCAGATTTATAACCAGTTATTTGGGAACAGAAGAAACTGTTTTCGGCCAGGCAGAAAATAACAATTTTCCATCTGCATATAAAAATACAGGGAGATAAAATATAAATGAAATGAAGTCATCACTGTACGTCTCTTTCACAGTTCATGAAGTTATTGCACATAGATATTGTAAATGTTGCACATAAAATAGTACATAAAATTGTACATATTGCACAAGAACTGCATTATGGGATCAGCTCTTCCTCTGGGCTGTCTCTGAACCAAACTTACGCATCACAGCACGCACCCATGACTCCTGCAGGCTSTCGGCAGTAACAAAGGAAACAAACATTGGGTGAAATGCATCTGCTGAGCTCAGAAAACCTACTTTCTGGTCTGACAATAAGGTTCATGTGTATCCTGAGATGCAATTTCCCAAAACAAATGTTGTATAATGTTGCTTCTTTTTTATTATCATTACAACAAAGTACGCTATGACACTCCAGGTTGTAAACAGCAGAGCCCTGTAGAGAGAAGTTGTTGTGATGACGTGCTGAAATGGGCCTGACAGAATCTGAAGGAGGTTCATATAGAGACAGAGGCCAATTTCAAGGCATTTAGAAACAGATATGATGAGAAGACAAGTTTATTAAGTTGATTAGTCCTTCTTCTTCCATGAAGCAGCTCTGTTGTTCTCCATCCATATTTTCAGTTGCAGGCTGAGTTATTTCTACCTCCTCCTCTCTGTCAACGCTCTCTGGTTTCATTTAAAAGAGTCGATCATCAGATATTGTCCAAGATTAACCTTCAGGGTGGACATAGCTTGATCACACCAATGACATACTGTATCCACGTCATCATTTACCCAGAATGCTTTGTGTGTAAATGAAATGGCCCCGTTCGTGTAATTTATTTTAAAATTTTTAGTTTAAAAATTATTAAAAAAAATAAACAACCTACAGTATTTTTACAGTCTTTATTTACAGTTAAAATGAATGTTTATCAAATAAAGTCTAATGTTACAACTAATCGGGGCTCCCTTTAAAGATATTGATGCTGTCACATGTCAGCTCTGAGCTTCAGCTCCCTTTAAAGGTTTTCAATGGGAATAAGGTCTGGAGACTGGACAGACCACTCCATGACCTTAATGTGCTTCTTTTTGAGCCACTCCTTGTTTGCTTTGGCTGTATGTTTTGGGTCATTGTTGTGCTGGAAGACCCAGCCATGACCCATTGTGGCAGAGGGAAGGAGGGTCTTACTCAGGATTTCACGGTACATGGTTCCATCTATTCTCCCATTGATGTGGTGAAGTAGTCCTGTGCCCTTAGCAGAGAAACATCCCAAAAACATAATGTTTCCACCTCCATGCTTGACAGTGGGGATAGTGTTCTTTGGGTCATGGTCAGCATTTCTCTTCCTCCAAACATGGAGAGCTGAGATAATGACAAAGAGCTCAATTTTTGTCTCATCTGACCACAGCACCTTCTTCCAATCCCTCTCAGAATCATCCAGGTGTTCATTGGTAAACTGCAGACGGGCCTGAACATGTGCCTTCTTGAGCAGGGTGAGCTTGTTACATTCTAGTTGTGCACGTCGATGCTTCCCGTCAATTTTTTTTTTTACTTAGTGTTCAGAGTTCAACAGGTGGATGATTTCAGTGCAAGAACTCATCCTCCTAAATGTTCGCCCTAGGCAACAGAACCTCCAGCCTGATGGCAGTGAGGAGTGAGTGTCTGGTTGGTTGGGCTGTCAGAAGATCATCTTGGTGTTTGTTTGACATCCCGGAAATTCTGAACTGGGCTGAAGACGGCAAGCTACTATGGCACAGTAAGAACGAACCATCAACAATATACAGTACTTTTGACTGTCATGGCTTGCTCATATTTTTACAAAAATAATCCTCAAATTTTTACATATTTTGCCATAACGTTACATGTAAATGATGTTGCACTCTTGTATAAGTTATAAATGGCTACAAGCCATTTAAAAAAAGATTGGGTCTCACTGTATTAGCTTCAGCTATTAGCAATATGTAATGTTAGATAAGGTTTATTATTTCAGCAACATGACAAGCCAGTGAATTAGTAGTTTTCAGCTTTTGTTT